GTATCCACTCCAAATTTCAAAATAAATCGGATAAAAAATGTGAAAGACTTTAAAAATGCTATTTTGAGAAAAACACGTTTAAAATTTTAGTTATTGTTTTGTTCATAAAACAATAAAATCTCAATTTTATTTTCAGTCTGCTATTCCTGGGTTATATAACTGTCCTTCTAATAGTTAATTTGTCTCATCTGCCTCTTCTCTAATAGTTTTTAATGTCTTTTGAGTCTCTTTAACGACGACTGTCAAGGAGCGGTCAACCGCTTGCACGCGGCGCATATTCGCTTTCGCACAGAAATTATAGCAGTTGAGGCTAGTTAGATTCAGAATTTTCAATTAAAACCATTTGAATTCTATTTTTAAAGCTATAAACTATCGATTTAAGTAAAAAAATCAATTTTTGTTAAATCGCCAAGGTGGTCTAACCGCTTAAGTTTGTGTATTGCGAACGCATTATGTAATGCTTATAAAAATAATTAATCTTTTATTAATAAAAAGAAATTGTTCTCAATCATATTTGATTTGGATAATGTTTGAGAAGAAATCGTGAGCTAATAGCCTAACAACGAAAGTACGTAGCAAATAAATTAAAAAATGGCACACAAATGCATTGCATCTTTTACTACGTTTTGATATTAATATATATTTTTTTTACTAATTTACAATTAGTTATATAATATAAATATTGTTATTCTATTAATAACTGTAGGGAATCCTTATAACTGTATATACACACATTACTTTCATATATTTTTATCAAAATATGAAATCAATTTGCAATATATATGTGGTGTATATTTTTTAAGTATACGACCGTATGATTGTAATATAAGAAAAAAAAACAAAACATTTTTAGATTATTTTTATTTTATAACATTTTTAATAAAGATATTAATAAGATCACATTAAAAAATAAACATAAAAATAGGTACGCGCACCAACTAAAAAACTTAACGATTTTAAGGAACAGTCCTCAAAATAATGCCATATATGTCAAAAGAATGTCCTCGAATTCTACCAAATTTATACAGGTGTTCCATTTAATTGCTTCAGTCAAATATCTCGAAAAAT